GAAAAGCGGGTTATTATTTGAAGAATGACAGATGTGAACCTTCTGTAACATAAGAGGTGGACTCTAGGTAAAGATCAAAGTGAAAAGTTAAAACTGTAAAGTTAACATAAGGAAACCTTTCTGACCTGGTTTTGGGGAGGAATTTCTCTCTCTGTTTTTTTTTTTTTTAAAGAGATTTAATTATTTATGTATATAGAACTGGGGTACAGGCCAGAGGTGCAGAGGGGTGAGAGGATTCACCATAGACAGAGTGGGGAGCAGAACAGGCAGATCGACGAAGTACACTGCTGAGAGGGGCAGTGGGCGGGCCAGCAGAGGTCTGCCACGCCATGTGGGTCACCTCCGGGGCCAGGATCAGACTCCTCACTGAAGCAGCTGCGGCCAGCTAGCAGTACTGTGTCCTAACCTATTGCACCACCAGGGAGGGCGTGGGAGGAAGTTCTTAAAACAAAATTTCAAAACACAATAAAATTAAAATAGCTTTAATTACATTGAAGTTAATAATTTTTCTCAATGAAGGATACCACAGAAAAGATATTCAGATGATAAAATAGAATAAAAATTTGTCATGTCTAAGGGGCTAATATCTAGAAAATGTAAGACACATTCTCGAAAATTTATTAAGGGTAGAAACCTCTTAAAATAATAAAAAAAACAGTAGCAAAATTGACATTCAAAAGGCTAACCAGCATTTGAGATGATATGATTATTAGATATCATATACATATATAGGCATGCTATATAACAAGGGCCCCTAGTTCTCATTTTCTGTCAGCAGTGGGTCATCTCCCATTGTAGCTTTTTCCCAATGTTTAAGCACTATTAATAGGTATGTATACTGGCCATTTGCAAGAACTGCTGGTATTTAATTTAGTCAAGTTAAGTATATTCATATTCTGTGACCCAGATATTCTGCTCCTGAGTCTACATGCTGTGCAGCTAGGTGCAACTAGAATACTCATTAGTGCTATTTGTAGTGGCAGAGATCTAAATGGAATGTGGTAGATGCATGTCATAATAAGCTTTAAGTAGAACCAGAATAGAGGTACGTATATCTACCTGATGAATCTAAAAGTGTAGTGCTAGGTAAAAGAGGTAAAAAACAAAATACAATATAAAACATCATTTTCACACTTTAAAAAATGCAGAAAACAAAGAGATATACATTATCTCTTATTATATAAGGATACAAAGAGGTTGACATTAAATTAATCCAATATAATAGAAAGTAAGACCTGAAGATAAGAGCAAATGACCATATGAATTAGTAATGATGATATGCCATAAATCAAGAAGTGAGACTAGCAAAAATCTGCATTTGAGAAGAGGACAAAACATAGCATGTACACAGGAATAAATCTAACCAAAATGTATAATACACTTGTAAAGAATATTGTATGTCTACCATAAGATACTAAAAATTTAGAAAAGATAAATAAAAGAAAAACCAGTTTGTGGACAGGGAATGTTATCAGAGTAAGGTGCCAGGTAAACTGACTCATAATAAATTGAATAGAACCTCCCTTCTTCAAACCAATTACATTTTTCATAAAATTTCACAACAGAATCTAAAATTTAAATGGAAGAGCAAAGAGCCAAAAAATTATTTTAGCTAAGACACCCTTGTATTAAAAGAAGTTAGAAGGAAGAAGGTTATTAAGATTTATTTAAAGATGTAGTAATTAACAGCATAGAATTGGCAAAAGACTAAATAAACCAATAAAAACAAAGTTCTCAGAAATGGACTCAACACATGGAATTTAAATATTACCAGATTAACACTATGGAACATTTGGAAAATGAAGAATTATTTTCACAAAAATACAATAATTAAATAGGAGATAATTCCAAAGTAATTGTGTCCCTACCTACAAACAGCAAAACAAAACACCAAAATAAGCACCTCCCCCCACCCCTCAAAAATCCAGGAAATAGTAACATAAATCAATCCCAGAAATTGCTACAATTATTGAAAAATACACAGGAAGTATCTTTGTGACCCTGGAGTAGAGAAAAATTTCTAAAGTCATATAGATGGGGAGATGGTGAAGAAAATGAACAACTATAATTTAAGATATCATAAAGAAAAACACCATACCTAAGAGAAGACAGATGACATTTACATAATCAACAGAAAAAGTAGTCACCAGAAAACACTTTAAGACTCAAAAATAGGGCCCCTGCTGGTGGCATACTGTGTTAAAACACAGAACTGCATGTTAGCCACAGCCGCTTCAATGCAAGTTTGATCCCTGGCCCTCAGGTGAGGTGACCCACATGAAGAAGCAGACCTCCTGTCTGTCTGGCTGCTCCTCTCAGCAGAGTAATTCCTCAATCTGCCTGTTCTGCTCCCCACTCTGATTCTGATGAATCTTCTCACTGACCCTGCACCTCTGACCTGTACCCCCGTTTCTTATCCATAAATAAATAAATCTTTTAAAAAAAAAGACTCAAAAATAAATAAGAAAAATACAATCAATAAGAAAATGAACAAAACTTAGACATAGTTATTTCATTGATGAAGAAATGCAATGCCCAATATAAAGAGTTAGTAATTCAAGGGATGGAAATTAAACTCTAATGAAATAGGACTTTTTACCTGTTAGAATGGAAAAATATAAATAACTGAAAATATCAGTGACGTGCTGCAGTTAAACAGTACAATCATTTAAGGCAACAATCTGGCTGAGATTATCAAGGTAAAGATGTGCTTTTCCTGTGACCCACCAGTTTCCTACTGACATTTATCCTATAGGAACTCTTAAACTCCAGGAAATATGATAAGAATGTTTATAACAGCATTTTTTATAATACTTAAAAAAAGCAACTCAATTGTTTGCCAACAGGAGAATAGATAAATTTTGCCATAGTCACATATTAGACAATAGTATGGTAGTAAAAATAAAGGGATGTGGTTACATTTCTTGAAATGCATGAACTCAGAATAAACATAGAATGACAAAGTAACTGCAGAAGGACACATACAGATGTAGAACAGTTGCTGCTGCAAAAATTCAAAAACAAGCCAAGTTAAATAACATTTAGTATGCATGTGTATACTAGTCTAAAAATAGGAAAAATATAAACTTTGGTGAAGCAAGAAGTAAACAAAAAGTACAGAAGATGCTTGTACTTAATAATAATTAATGAGTCTGGTTTGTGATTAAAATCCTGAATGATTTTCCAGACCTGATCACAAGCACAGACATGTTCCCTGTAGGCCTTGCAGCTCCCTACACCAGACTTGGTGCAAGGTCAGTGCATTAGCGTCCTGAATGGAATCATGCCAAGGGCTCAGTCCCCATGGACAGTGATGTTCTTTCATATATTTATGTTCCTAGTCCCGGAGCCTACAGTTCCAGGTCCTTTATTTGAGGCTTTCTGGGTTTCCATAGGTGCCTTTATTGAGACCTCTACTGAGGGCAAAAGGAAGAGACCCTTCCACTCCTAACTCTTCCCATTCCTAGTCCAAACCCACCCTTTTCTCCCCAAACACACATACCTCAGGCCCATTAAATTGCCTGGAATCTTGTCTGGAGCTCCCTTAACAGTGAGAGTCATATCTGTGCTGACTTGGGGAGAAATGGAATTGGGGAAGCTAGTATTTTCTCTGGTTTGAGACTCTTGCTTCTGCCACTTCACCAAGAGACTAAAGACTTAACTCTTTCCAGTTTGGCTGGGCCTGACAGCTCAGCACTGTTAAGCTCCTGATAGTAATATATTTCTTAAGTTAGATTGTGTAATAAAACTACTTTTAACCTCCTCCATAAAAACTTACAAAAAGTTAAGATCTGTGGAACTTCTATGGGGAGGACAAATAAGGAAATCACATAGAAGTAACTGTTTAAATTATAGCTTCCGTGCCTCAGAATATAAAAAGACAAAGGAAATTGCAGGGTTATCAGAAAGGTGCTTCATTCTTTTAAAAAGTTGAGTGTAGGAAAGAAGGTAGGATACAAAGGAGCATATTTTTTCTCTTCTTCGGTGTGAACTCCATTAAGATATTCTTATTTTGATTTCATACTATCTTTTGTGATTTAAATAAACTTTAAATGTTTCTATACCAAATGTATGGATAAAGGGTTTTGCTATATTGAGCTTCTTGGTCATTTCTGATCATCTTCTGTTCCTGGCAGATCACAGTTCCCTGAAAATCTCATCTGAATTATTCCAATCAAAGCTCATAATAACATAAGGAATAAATACTAAAACTGCACAGTAGCACATGTTCTGACAGACTATGGTCTTTAAAAAGTTTTAATGTGACATTTAGTCATTTTAAATTACATTTTATATTCATATTGTAAGGTAATCATAGTACAGTAACAAACTTTCAAAGGTGAAAAAGTTATTTGAAATAACCTTGCCTTTCCTTAATTTGATAATTCCTTATATCTATTAGTACAATTAGTTATTTAAAATCTGTCTTTACATTAGTTAATTTGATCTTCATAATAATGATATTTGTAGATTTTATAGATCAGGAAACAGAAACAAAAGGTGGAGGGTTTCTGTGATGTTTGTAGTCATGTAACAAGTTCAACCAGGTAACTGTTTTCTTATTGTATTGCACATTATCTGAGACACTCTCTCTACCAAGAGTACTTTCTACTTGTCCTAAACTTGTTGTATAACTGTATAATATTAACTAAGTTATAATTTTGCATTAGAATCTTTATAAAAAATACCAGTATTTTTTAATCAGATCAACCAAATTTGTTACTCCTGACATGCATTATCTACATACTGAAAATTTTAAAAAGCAAGACAAAGTAAATTTAATCATGAATTTCTCTCAAATTTGCTTTTATCATAGTCTCATTTTTTCATACATATCTGAAGTTTTCAACAAGGTTACTTAGTAAAATCCTTACTTAAAATCGATCAATACAGAAATCTATTTCCACCAACATTTTAAGATACAGACAAACAGCTTTAAGGAGAGACCTCGGATAAGGTTACCAGACTTCTTTATTCTTTTTTTGCATTTGTTGCCTTACCTCCAAAAAGATGGAAAGCTTTTCTGCAGCTTGGTAGAGGCCATTTTGCAGAGTTGGATTTCTGAAAGCTTTGTTTTATTTTCAAATATTCTTTAGCAAAGAATGTTTTTGTGGCATTGTTCAGTTCTAGAATAAAGAAAAAGAAAATAGCATTATGCACTCATTTGAGTAAAATAGTAAGAAAATGAAAAATGATTATCCCAGTACTTTGAAAATAAAGTCAGATCTCTTTAAGACTGACAACAAAAGGAGATTCAACAATTTTTAAACTCAAGCAAACACATATTTGAAGCAACTTGATGTATATACACATAGAACAAACTTCTACTGAGTAGCTTCTATGACAGACACTATACTGGATATGGAGGAGACACTGATGAAAAAGCCATAATCCTTGCCCTCAAGAAGACTAGATTAAAAGATGAAGGAAAAAATAAAAAAAAAACACATGTAGGTAAAAAAAGAGGAATAATGTGTAAGTATAGTAATAGAAAAACCAGAGTGTGTTCAGAAGGGATAATAAAAAGGAAAACACCCTTTAGACATGTTCACTTCATGACCTTTTTATTTCATTCTATATGTGATGAATAAAGCATTTACTGAGTCTAATGCTATTGATTTGAGGAAGTTTTTAAAATGTAAAAATAAATTCTCAGTCTTTCAAAATGCTTGCTAATGAGAAAAAGAAAAAGACTATGAATGTAGTCCCTCTACATAATATATAGTGTATATAACACATGTAATCTGTGTATAGACTAACACTAGTCTCTCATATATATATACATACATACATATATATATATACACAAATATATATGTGTGTATATATATATATGGCTTTGTATATGGTCTCTATATAAGCCAAGGAAACTAAAGCATGATCTGAGTTGTTTAATGGCAATTCTAGAAATTCTTCTAGAGGTACCAGAGCAGAATTGGTTATTAACCTAAGAAGTAGACTAAGCTTCCATCAATGTTCCCTCTTATTTTCATCCCATAATTATTACCTGTAGCATTTCTTCAGTTTCCTACTTGAGGCTTTGTGCTTCTGCTCAAACCTAAATTTTCTGTTCCTCTTAATTACTCGCTTGGATTAATTCTTACATAAGTAATTCATAAGGAAAACAAATTCTTACAAAGTTTACATGTAAACAAGAAAGGAATAAAATAAAAAATAGGTTATTCTAGGCAAGTGAGGTTATGTATCAAACCTTTAACTACTTTTCCCATTCCACATGTAAGAACTAGTTATTCAAGCACACACTAGAGGTAAAACATTTTCATAATCTGCATACTCATTGTGTATGCTGGGGGTTATTATGGATAGTGAATTTTTATCCTTTATGTACTTAATGGTTAAATAATTTCAGGTTGCATAGTCTCGTGTATTTTTTTTTTGTAGCAACACTCAGCTATTTGTTAAAATATACTTTGCCCACTGCTTGTGTATGGCACCGTCACCTGGTTAAAAACCCCTCAGTACCATTCATATGGGTGAAGAGAATGGAGGAAGTTATCGAATGGCTTATAAATCATTCATCAACAGTAATAATTCTTGTAGGACTTAAGTAGCAATGACTAATTCAAGATATTTTCTGGGAAATTAAAAATTGTGAGATGAATGGTATTGAGTTAACAATGAACTATTGGCAAACTCACTTCCAGCTTTCAAAATGCCCTAATAAATGAGATAAACAGGGCAGTTGGTAAATAAAGATTTCATTGTGGGAAATAATGTAAACCACAGTGAAGAGTTTATAATTCAAGAATTATGATTCCTCTCTTTTTATCTTGTATTTCTTATTCCTCTACATTCTCCTCTTCCAGAAAACATACTGTCCTCTACTCTACTCTACTCTGTCTTATACTGAAACTTTATTTGGAAGTGCCTCTGAATTCTAGTGTAACAAATCAAAAGGATATTCTAAGAGTCATTCAATAACTGCAGTTTTTAATAACAGGTCACAAACCAAATTTAGGGTAGATGAGAGAAGTAAAAGCAATAATGATATTTATCTATGCTTTTTCTCTTGCTAGAGTCAAAGAATATATATTACTTTTTTTGAATATATATTACTTTTTAAAAAATAATATAATAGTTTATTTTTACATCATTTTGTGCATTTTTCTGTCTCAGATGTAATCCCCATGGACTTGCCATCACCAAATCACCCGTGTGCCATCACCATAGTCCAGTGCATTTCCCTTCCCCAACTGTTTTTTACCCCATTCTCCACTCCACCCCCATAAAATGTCTCTGGTATATAGCTATTCATTATTATTTTATCTCCTGGTCCATTATACTCCTGCTATGAGTAAAACCATCCGGTGTTTTTCCTTTTCTTCAAAGAATATGTTACTTTTTTTAAAAAAAAGATTTATTTACTTATGCATACAGAACTGAGGTACACGGCAGAGGTGTGATGGGTAAGAGGATAACCAGAGACAGAGTGGGGAGCAGAACAGAATAATTGATGAAGTACACTGCTGAGGGGAGCAGCTGGCAGGTCAGGAGAGATCTGCTGTGCCATGTGGGTCAACTCCCTGGTAGGGATTGAACCTGTGTTGCAGTGGCTTAGGAGAGCTTCATAATGCAGTACTTTAACCCATTGCACCACCAGGGAGAGCCCCTATATTACACTTTTAACCTATACAGTGCACCAAAACAGGAAAAGGTTTGGAAATATAATACCTAAAAAATTTGAGTGAGAGAAATTACTTTCTTAAAATGTGTAACATAAGATGGGAACTTCATGTATAACATTTTGTTCTACATGTCAATAATAATGTTATGAGACAAATTTTATTTCAAAACTTGTTTTTCAAAATCCCTTTATATTTCTATAGGTTTCAAAGTTTTTAGACTAAAAAGTAAAAGCCATGTATACATGATGCATACTTTGATCTGTGGTGCAACTACTTTTTAATACAGTCCAACTGGTATGTTATTAGAATATGCTCTTCATACTTCCAAGCATCCACATTCAGTTGAACTAGTAACTAACTATACACTTCAACTTCTAATATCCTTTGTTAGTGTTTCTGTATTTTGGGGTGAATACTCAGAAATGGGATAACTGGATCATACAAAATTTCTGTTTTTAGTATTTTGAGGAAATCCCCGTACTACTTTTTGTACTAATTTTATATTCCTGTCAACAGTGTGTTAAGTTTTCCCTTCTTGCATTCTTTCCAACACTTGTTGTTTCTTGATATTTATTCTCTTTAGGAGATTCACCTTATGATAAGCCTTGTTTACCTATTGAAAATTACTTCTCATTATTATGAAAGCAATTCCTCCCTCATAATTCTCTTCTAAGTACTGTTATTATATATGTATATATATATATATATATTTTTTTTTAAATACAACTTACAAAAAAAGATCCAACACAGGAAATTAGAAACATGTTATCATCAAAATTTCAAAAGGTTTCTACTCCAAGATAAATTATATATAGTTTAACTCCCACGGTTTCAACAGGTATTGTGCATGCTATTCACGAGCATTATTTAGTTGTAGGAGATTAAAGTATTCAAAAGGACATAAGGAAAAAAGACTAGATTGCATCAATGGGTATTTGTTAGAAGGAAGTTCAACAGCAGTCCATGGTGTATATATACCACATCTTAATTCACTTAATGGTACATAGTGCTGCAATAAAAATGCATATGTCCTTTAGAATAGTGTTTTTTGTAGCTTTGGGTAGATCTCGAGGAGTACTATTGCCAGACTATATGGTAGATTTATTTTTAATATTTTGAGAAACTTCCATTCCATCTTTGACAGGGAATGGGTCAGTCTACATTCCCACCAATAGTGTGTTAAGGGTTCCTTTTTCTCAACAACCTCACCAACACTTGTTTTTAGTCTTTTTGATGCAGGCAGTTCTCACAGGTATGACATGTCACTGGTTTCAGTGATGTCTTTTGGGATTCAACTCAGCAAGAGAAACAAAAGCAAAAACAAATGGGACTTCATCAAACCAAAAAGCTCTGGATGAAAAAAAAAGAAAGAAAGAAAGAAAAAGCAAAAGCAAAACGAAAACCAAAAACCCACCTCTGATTAAAATGAAAAGATACCCTACTGAATGGGGGAAGATCCTGGGCAAATACCCAAGATCTACTACAAAGAACTGACAGAATTCAGTTTAAAAAAAATGTGCAAATGACCTAAATAAACACTTCTCCAAAAAGGACATTCAAATGACCAAAAGGCACATGAAAAAATATTCATCATCACTTATCAGGGAAATGAGATACCACGACATCCTTCTGAGAAAGCTGTATATCAAAAAGATCAGAAGCAACATGTTGCCAAGCATTTAGAGAAAAATGAACCATCGCCCACTGTATAGGAATGTAGATGGTCTACTTCCTATAGAAACAGTATGGACATTTCTCAAAATATTAAAAATATATTTACCACATAACCTAGCAATCCCATTCTGAAGTATCAACTCAAAGAATACAGAAACACTAACTGGAATGGTTATATGTTCATTTAAGCACTATTTATTATTGCCATGTCAGGAAATAACTGATGCCCAAAGACATATGAGTGGATTAAGAAGATAGGAGATACACACACACACAACCACACACACACAATGGAATTCTACTCACTGATTAAAAAAAAAATGCTCTTCTACCATTTGTAATAACATGGATGGAACTGAAAGTGATTATGTGGAAGGAAATAAATAAGGAGGAGAATGATAAACATCACATGATTTCACTCATGTAGAGAAACAAAACAAAGCATCAGACAAAATCAAACCAAAATAGGAAATCTAAGTGTAGAACTGAAGCTACAAGATGGGAGGAAAGGGTGGAAGGAAAACATGGCGGGGGGGGGGGAGCTGTCTCATGGTATGTGGTTGAAGACTATGGTTGTCTTGGTAGTGAGTGTTCTTTGTCTGAAGAGGTGTCTCATTAGGATATAATGTTTTATGTCAATTATCTCTATATATGATTATACAATTAAAAAAGACAAACTGGTGAGCAAGAAATTATGCTATGACAGATTTTCAAAACTTTCTCATTAAATTTTAAAAGTACCTTTAGAACTATAATGAAGTATTCAAAATAATCAGGCTGTCATATTAATGAAAGAGAACAGTTACCTGTTTGGAAAAAGACTCTAGAAATAATTGTCCGACACAGTGGGCACGGAGTGTTTGCAGGATTGTCTTTGGCTAGAGTCCGTAAGCAGGGCTCACAGAAGATATGGTGGCAAGGGTAACACATGTAGGGGTTGAAATAAACATCCAGGCAGACTGCACAGATATAGCTTTCCTTTTCCTCTGCATATTCATTGTCATCATCTGTACTCATGTCAGTATTCAAAGTCTGTAAAACATAAGCGAGAACCATTTTTTCTTAATCAATGAGACTGGATTCCTTAAGAATGAGAGACTGACAATTTTATTAAAATGAATGAAAATATTCATGAGAAACATAATATAGGAATTCTACTTTACAACATAAGAAACTGAAAACATATGAAATACCCAGAAGTCTAAATTTATTCTTTTTAGTGTTTTTATTTAATGCTAAATATACCTAAATACACTAAGTATACCTATATTTAACAAGATAAGTGTTAGATATATTGGTAAGTGTACCCCAGGATTACAAATTGCACATCTATCCCATTGCCAACACAGCATATTATAAGTTGATGTAACAAGGTTATAGAACCCTATATGGACAATGACATGAGGAAAAGGAGGGCAAGATACATCATATTTCATCCTCCTACATTACAAGGGAATACTCTCTTTCCTTAAACTAAGTGAAGACTCAGTTCACTGACTCACAATGGGAATCTTCACAGTGCACTCTTTTCTCTTTTCCTCACACTGATGTTTGAGAAAAACAAAGGACATCAATGATTAATTAGTTGACTGGACCTTTGACTTAGGCAATTTTTAAGTTACAGTGAAATGAGGCATATAGAAGTTAAGAATATAGAAAAACCTTCCTATTGGATAAACATATTTACCTATATGACTTTGCTTCTGACAGCTCTTCTGCCATTTGTTGGTAAATTCTCTTTTATTTGAGTATTTAACATACTTATTTTTAATTGAGTTGTCTGACTTACAGATTTGTAGGCAGTTTTACTTAATTATTGTTACAGGTTAGATATATTGCAAATATTTTTTCCCTTTGATATGCCTCTCCATTCTTTTCATGGTATCCTTTACAATTAAAATCTTATTTTATAATTTTTATCTCATTTTAGAACTGTTATCCTTTCCCATGGTCATCAAGATAGCATTATTTAGCATTTCATAATAAGTCATAATAGATTTTAAATATATGATATACTTAGTAGTTAAATTTTTATATTTGTGTAGTTATTAATTAGTACAGTTCATTTATTGCAAGAACTTTCCTCTCTGAAAAGTCATTTTGTTACTTACTAAGATACCACATATGCATGGATTGGTTTTTAAGGTTTCCATTTAGTTCCATTTGCTTACTGTCTATTCCTATGCCATTATCACGCCTCTTAATATAGTTTTATAATAAGCCTCAATATCTGATAAATCAAGTCCTTTCATCTTACTGTGATTCTTCAAGAGTATCTTGGCTATTCTTGGCCTATTTTATAAGCATATTAAACTTGGAATAACCTTTTCAAATTTTTTTTTTTTTTTAGAAGTTGGAATTTTATTGGAACTCAGTGAGCTTACAGATAAATTTAGGAAGAGTTAGAAATCTTTACATAAGTTTTGAAATATATAATCTTGGTTTATCTATTCATTTATTAAACATTTTCAAAAATTATCTTGTAGTTTTTATATATTAAGCCAACATTTTATCTCCCACTTACAACTTCACTACCTTTTCTCAACTAGCCCACTCTTACTAATATTTGCTCTCACACTTCTCATATCAAAATAAACATGTTAAAAAATAAAAAACCTCGCCAGCTCATGCTACATTATTTTATTCGCTTAAACAGTAAAATTTCACAAGAGACTTGATCCTGTTACATGTGATTTCTTTTTCTTCATTGCCTGTCTACATTTCTACTCAGTCTAACTTAACTTGTTCTAAATACTTGCTGAAAATGCTCTCTTAGTCACCATCAACCATTCTAGGATGTTTTCTTGAATTATCTTCCCTAGTCTTCTGCAGCATTCCTGAGTAACCATGACTTCTTTCTTGCCACCAACTTAATGACTTCTTATATTAAATGAGAAAGGATGAAATACTGGGAATTTGAGAAAATTATGTGTTACAAAACAAGTCAGGATGATAAAGACAAATACTGGACATTTACATGGCAGGCAGTCAGATAACATGAAATTTTAAAGAAAACCAGTGGACATCAATACATATAGTGAGAGCCTCTGAGATTAATGGTTGGGGAGGAAAAGTACATGGAATAAAGAATAGTTACTGGAAAAAAAAAAAAGTCTTGGGTCTAACACAATTAAAACACAGACACACATCCCTATCTAATATACCCATGGATTCAGTATATTTATTATTATTTCTAAATGACTGAAGTACAGATAAAAGGTATAATTAAAACTCATAGATTAAATTAATCAAATTTACATAAATATAAATGGTGGCTATACAATCTGAACTCAGGTAACATTCCTACATAGATCAAAGCATCAATAGATCTATCAACATTATATTTATAGTTCTATTAGATGATAAATACAACTAAAATAAAAAAGGAGATCTACTGAAAGACCATGAAGTGTCCTCTGAAGCACCAAAGAGAGAGTATATGATCTTCAACACGGTTTTAGTTATATTTTTTACCTTGTAATTATTTTAAAGCTGGTGTTTCATGCTGAGTCACTTAATACAAATTCAGCTTATCAAAACATCTCATTAATAGGCAATTATAGATATACTGAAAATTAATATATCTTAACTGTAGTTTATATCAATCACTTTGCTAGGTATAAATCCAATTACAGATTAGAGTTATGTCTCTGAATCTGTTTCTAATACATCTAATTTCTCAGGCTTATGTGCTTTCTTTACTAAAAATCTGAAATAAGGCCCTAAGGTTTAAAATGTAAGTTAGTATTTGTTAGCTACCAAGAAGCAAACCAAAGGAAAAATAGAATTAGTGGGGCCTCAACTGAACTCTGGAGCCATGCAATATAAAAGCTTGAATATAAATTTCCCTGTAGTTATTTCTGTAACACACCACAAATTTCCTGTCTCTGGGTCACCAAGACTAGCTTAGAGTATCTTATACTATAGTTACCTTTTACAATTGGTGATTAGTATTTAGTTTGAACTGCAATGATCATAGCTTACTTAAGGACAGAAAGAATGTTTTCTATCATCAAGAGTCAGGCTAATATTTAGTAGTATTCAGATAAAAGTACCTGTTATTGGCCCTCCCTGGTGGCACAGCGGGTTAAAGCACTGCACTGAGAAGCTAAAGCCACTTGCGCATGAGTTCGATTCCCGCCTGCCCCGGAGGTGACCACATGGCGTGGCAGACCTCTCCTGACCAGCCCACTGCTCCCCTCAGCAGTGTACTTCGTTGATCTGCCTGTTCTGCTCCCCACTCTGTCTCTGGTGAAGCCTATCGCCGCCCCTGGGCCTCTGGCCTGTACCCCAGTTCTGTATGCACAAATAAATAAATCTTTAAAAAAAAAAAAGTACCTGTTATTTCTACTTCTTGGTTTTTTAAATCAAAATATTATTAAAGCCCTTTGAAAGTTATTTGCTCACTTACAATTGCTACTAAACCCACTTCTTATTCTTACTGTTCCACAGTCGAACCACATATCCAGACTTCTTGTCAATTAGCTCTGGCAAGAAGTGACTAATTGATCCAATCGAATTCTATGCAAAATAGGGTGATTCAAGATTTAGTCCATGACAAACCTCTTACTGATGATCCTCCATGCTTTTGCCATTCATACAGATGCAAGAGAGACATGATGGAAGAGGATAAAACTATAAACATGGATCCCTGCATTATTACTGAGGAAAGAATTGTATGCTGAGTAGAAATTTGCATGAGTACGATTACATAGAATCACTCTGATTTGATGCTTATCAGTGATAGGAGCTAGTGTTCCTAATTAATAGATAAACTGTTGACTCAGAATATTATGCTGCCCAAACAAAACCTAAAATATGAGGCACTTGTTTTGCAGAGATTAAGAAAACTAACTGGTAATCAGAAACTGAAAGATGAAGAATCAGATTATGCAGTGACTAAACATTTGGTAAAACTGTCATTTATGATAATGTGGAGGGCAGACTATGAGCTTATTAGCATATTGCTCTAGGGAAAGTGGCTGGTAATAGGATTTTCTATTAGTTTAAATCATATGACATTGCTGATATCTGACATTTTAGTCCCACAGTAATGATATTATACAGTTCAATCTAATACTTTACGCTTTTATTAATGGATTACCAGAAAGAGATAAGGAATAGAAAAAAAGCAACAAATTTGCAGTCTCATATATTTAAAAAATCCAGTCACAAAGACTTTGAAAGATGAAAGTCTATTAAGAGTCATCTCTTTGAGCAAAACTTAGTTTCAGGTTTTTGGCTTATTACCTAACCTTTGTTTCAGAAGCTCTAATTTGAGAGAGAAAGGCACAGTGATATGGGATAAAAAATTCCTAAAATTTTAGTTTAGTGGAGAATTTTGATGTAGTTAGAAGTACATAAAATTGAGTAGAACTAGACAAGAATCTGAACTTCTTTGAGCTTCTGGATCTGGTTTGATGCATTATATTAATTTGGGGGAAATTCTTCTTTTTTTCCTTTCTATGTAATCATATAAGTGTCCTCCTACAAATAAGTGACATGATCTTTGTTTTCCAAAATGTTTTTACTGCAATACTTGTTACTCTGTTTTTCTTTTTACTCAAAAATTATATTTAAATTCATGTTACTTTTTATAGCTTCTATAGTACTTCTAATTTTTTAAAATTAGAACATATACTTTCCTAAAATTCCTGATTTTCTATTGACTTTGCATTCCCTTTATCATAATCAGCATAATATTTTTTCAAAGTAGCTATTTTTTGGTGCATAAACATCAGTGGAAGGCGAACAACAGAATCCAGAAATTCTAGCAATCACAGAATTGAAAGAAGGATCAGGTCCAGACTTGTATAAAATTATTACTAAATTTTTGCATTTGAGTCTAGGATAGAACTTATGACTTACTGTTTTATGGAGTGGGGAATTATTTTGCAAATGTAAAAGAGAAAAGTATTTTTGGCTAAGTGTATCATATATATATATTATAGACAGATAGATAGGTAGATAGATAGATATAAACATGATAACTTTGTAACATACTGTTACACCCAATTTTTTGTTTAGATTCC